TTTTTTTTTTTTTTTTTTTTTTAATTCCGCACATAATATTCTTAAAGGGGGGAAACGCCTAAATAAAGAACTCGTTTAAGTAAGTTAGAGGGAACTGTACAAATTAAGCTCAGATACCTAAATATTTTGCAATTTCGAGGATCCATGCCGTCGTAACATATTTTAATAATCTACTAAAAATTGATAATGCCGCGATATAAATTCGTAATAATTTACTACACTAGCACAAAAGGCAACGCTGGAATTAAGTTAAGGTGTGAGAAAACCAAATAAAGCATTCTCAGTCCGTACTGCATGCGAGGAGCATCGAACGAATTTCACTGAAACGCCTGGACGCAAGTGATGCAACTATTCGGACTCCATGGATGTCCGTGTTGCATACGCAAGCTAGTGAAGGCGTTTTGACTCTCTAGACAATCTCTGCTTCACTCCCGGCGCGGCGCTGCATGGCGGCGTCGGCGGGCAACACTGCGAGGGTCCGAAATGACAGAGCGCCAATAATGCTTCGTTTGTACTACAAAAACGTATCTTAGGCAAGAATAGTTGCTCTACAAATGGACGTATTTCTATCAAACGGAACTATGTGCATTTTGCCGTGAGCCCTGTTATGCGCATATTCTTATGGGTCTCAGGGCTCATGTTTGATTGCCCATAGTTCCGTTTGATAGAAATACGTCCAAATAATTATCAGCAAATTAAGCTCTTGCTCAAACTCACGCTTAGCAATATCAAACCAGAAGAGGCACAAAAAGTACTGACAGCCTGCGACTGTGTACAACAATTCGTGCCTGAAAAATGTTTCTGTAGTATAGTTTTTAGTTTAGTGTAGTTTTTTATTGATTGTTGAAAGGTATTACAACGTTTAAAATGTGAAATGTGGGCTGAGGCCCCGACACTTATTGTTCTGAGAACGATGAATGCGGCAGTATTGCGGCAGTCAGAATCGTTTCACGGACACGGCAGGAAAATTGTTTTGAAGAAAAGGACCCAAAGATTGGGGCAAAATGTCCTACGTTACTCTTTGTATCAGGGTCATCGTACTGAAGTACCCGTTGATCGGTTTCATTAGAAATTAATGTGGAAAATAAAGTAAAAAAAGTCATGAAAAATTTTTGCAAATTGGAAAAGGAGAAAAATTGTGTTAAACAAAACACTGATTATTTGTCGAATCGACTTAAATTGAGGGGCCGAACTGACCTGCGTTGTTTACGATTTTTGGCGCGAGGGGGAAGTGTAACTCCCTGATTTTCTCGGTTTTTTACAAAAGGTTAAACTTGTTTAGCCTGAAGTTTTAATGAGAAAACATGTATAGAAGAAGCCCAATTTATCTTATCGTGTCCGGTGGTCCGGTAGGATAGGCTCTCTGATGGGCAAGAGGGGATCCCTCTGAACTTCTGTGTTCAGATACGTCTGTTGCAATTGCAACCCTTTAAGGTTTGAAACGTCAAGTGGAGACTTACCTTGATTTCCAGGCACCTCGTGGTCCGCACAGGAACTCCTTCAGCACCCGCCATTTCCGACGCACGGCCAACTCGGCGTTACGTTGTTGCGTTAACACATTCGCGAACCGAAGCGATTCTTCACTCGCGCGCGACCGACACGGAGACACGACGTTCATCTGAAACAAACCATTCTCAAATTCAGAGAAATACTTGAATAATTTCTGAAAAAAACCCTAGGAACTGAAAAATACACTAATAGCGCACTGAAAAAAGGATATTTTTTTCCGTTCTATACTCTGAGAAACAAATTTTTAGGAGATGATTAAACCATGTTTTTAAGCAATTTTAGAAAACAATTCCAGCATTTTTTGTTCATGTAACCTTTTTTTCGATATCAGACAATTTTATTTCATGGTTGCCTCAAAAATAAACAAATATTTCAGAAATGTTCAGGAAAACTCCATTTTTCGGGACTTTCGAAAGCGTTGAAAATATTTACTTAATACTTATTTTTACATAATTCATAAGTTTTAATGGAAATGTTTATAAAATGATTGAAAAATGGCATTAGACTTTGAAAGTCTTTCAGTGACTTTTAAACCTGATTTCGAAACGATTAAAAAGACAGCAAGACATAAAAAACGCAAATGCGTCACGATAACTTATCTCCTTAAATGTTTTGGTCACTTTTTACATATTTAGGTTTTTGTCCGATTAGAGACATCAGAGGAATATTATCAGCAAAAATGAGTATTTATCGTAATATAGTGAGGAGGACCGGGACCCACAATGTCTTCATTGCCTCCAAAAAGTGCTAGAGTTCAACTATTCATCTGGCTCGAGCATCGAGCAAGAGCAATCATGTTGAAACCAAAGTGCGCCTTCAAAAGTAGAGGTAGGTAACTATTCGTGCTTCACTGTTGTCCGGACTGTTCCGGCATGGTTTTTCAGGGATCTTTCATTATGCATTTGCTTGTGGACTTTCAATCATGGTCCACTGACCATAGCCCTCTTCATAGAAGAGTGGTCTTTTTCAGATACTGGGTCTTGATTTTTTAACATTCCCGATCAATGCAAAAGCATATAGGTTGATGAGAAGCACATTAAAAATCTGGGAATTTTTTAGCAATTATAGGGCGACAAGTAAGATGGAAACTATTTTGATCTGACAATCTCCGACGGTATCTAATGTAATTATTCACAGCACGAGCAACATCCTCGCTGGTTAAGATGAGGAAGTATCTGAGTATCTCTCATATTCATCAACTGCACTTTACCTTTTAGTGTAAGGAGCGAGGGCTGATCTTTGAGTGACCTTATCGTAATGTGCTCACGGGAAGCTATTAAGATAAAACTTTGAAGGTTTGACAGGAATATTTCTCCAGTTCACTCAAAAAGGGCAACGATTAGGAATGAGGGAGTTCCCTTCAGTAGGTTCATGAGAGAAGTTACATTTGAGCTTTACCTGAAACCGTAATTTGCTCTCGCCAACCTCGCGATTTCTTTTATGGCTGGACAACTTTGAGCTTTCGTAGCATTCAGCCCAAAAAGTGTTCATGGCTTCCGTCAAGTGAGCAGTTAGTGCGGCCTGATACGCTTCGTGTAAAGGCCGGACCTGAAACAGATTAATATTCCAAGTAACACTCAAGAGTCAACGACTAGAACTTAAAACTGAATTAAATTTGTAGCTAGTACCTAAAAACACACATTTTTAGATATTGCTTTCTGAGTGAAAAACGCTTTGGCGTTCGCAAATGAGAGATGACTAAATAGGACGCAAAATCAAACCCTGAAATGTTTTTTTAGGTTTAAAAAAGTACCCTGAAGAACATTTGCAAACGAGAAAGTTTCGAGTATGTTAAAGACACAAAAATTATAATAATTAGGAAAAGCTCGACAAGATAGAGAAATTGCTTAATGGGGGCCGTTCATAAAGTACATCACCCTCTGAGAGGGTGGCATATTTTATGAGCGTATGTGTTTTTGTGAACGTAACGCCATTTGGTTTTTACGTGTAGAAGAGTAGGACGATCCGGATAGTGATCCGATATTTAGTGTTATGTATTCTTTTAATGTGTACCCGCATCATTATCAGATGTGTTCTCACAGTTATCATTAAAAGACGGAAGCGTTAGATTAAAATTCTGAGAGAGAATCTCTTTCCCCCACGGCCTGACTTCCTCAAGATATAATTCTGAACTCTGCATAAAAGTTTCTAATCCTCGGAGTATGCAACCTATTGAAATGTGTCTTATAATCCTCGATTGAGAGAATCGTGTGTCAGGAAACAATAATCTTACAAGTCGGGATGGTCGCCTCAGTCAGAAATAGATCCTCTAATTCGTTTTTTACGTCTACGTGACTTCTATTCTTGGTCCATACTTATTTTTGACAGAACCAAAGTGAGTACACGTCGTGATGTCACGCGTTCAATTGACTAACTTAGAGAAACATGCTAGGTTGCCACTTGAAGACTAGTTAGACTATTCATTTTTCAATGTAGAATTACTTTTAATGGCTCATTTTAGGAACAACGTATAGGCTCCATTAGTTTTCCTATACAAATACGTGCTTTTATGGATGAGCCGGTAATAGTAAGTTCTCATCGCAAAATCTTAGTCAAATTCTCCGCATCGTCCTGGATGGAATAACCTTTCTCACTCAGCCAAAAAATGACAAATTAATTCTGATCACGGAAAAACTCTATGGGTTTGTTGGATGATGGGAGCATTTCCAATTAATTTTGGTAGTACCTCAATAGATTAGATGATCCGAATGTTGCGGTGCCAACACAATTAATTGGAAATGCCCATATCATCCAATAAATTGGAAGTTGGGGTTAACCACAATTTTAGGGGAAAGCCCCTAAAACTTTTTTCCGTGATTGATCAAGTTTAGTGATACTGCTCCAACTTTAGGAGGTTTCTTTTTTCAGTAACAGCGGAGCTTAAAAATAAATACATTTTTTTTAGAGTTTCAGCGAAGACCTCATTTTACCTTGCATTTTCCAGTCAAAGATACTTTGATCACAACGAACGATGTGCGTTCGCAGTTGCACTTATGGAAAAAAAACACTCCACAGCTGGGCCCTACGGATCGTATTCGATACATCAAACACGTGAGATTGTATCAATAACGATTGGTTCAACATGTAACATAGCCTCAAAAGTCAATTGAATAATTTGAGGCAGCGAGTTTCTTGTGATTAAGTTTTGATTTTCATGAATGTAAAATAGCAATGAAAAGTGAAATTGTTATAGAAATTTTCTCATTTTTAGTTTTTCCAACTTAAAGCCTAAAATTTTTGTTTGAGGTTATGTTCTATTATTTTGAGCCGAATGATCCATCGAACATCCATAACAACATCATCTAAATTTTGTGTAGGTACCAGTGCCACCATGGGTCAGAGGCTAGGAGGAAAAATGTCAAATGAAAAGTTTCCTGAAAACTGTGTGACCAAGCGCTCCCCTCCCGTGGGAAAAACTATGGGAGGAAAATTCGGCAACATTGGACGGTCAAGAGTCAGCGCCAGTGACAGTGGCCGAAAAGTCAGAGGCGAAGAAATGACCGAAAGAGATTTCAATCGAGGCTGATTCTCTTTTCTCTCTTCCGCCGCCGCGCCGTGGCGTGAAGATGAGCTCGACGACGAAAATCCAAGATCCGGTAGATGCGATGCGATACGCGACGCGTGTCTTTGATTTCCGCGCCGCGCTGGGTCGGTGGAGAAAAGGGGGAGGGTNTCCAATAGCGAGCGGCCTCGGCCTCCTCGGCTCGTCCGTCGCACGGGAGCACGTCAACGTCACCGTGTGACGTCATGACGTCATGTGACACCGCGCGGGACGGGAGCCTCCCGGATTGCCCGGCGGTGGCCCGAATCAATCTACGCTACGATCCAAAAGGTGGCAAGAGTCATGATGCAACCCTCAAAACTCGAGAGTCTCTTGTTGGCTCTAATGTTCACGGTTTTTCGACTACATCTTTTTTTTTTTCTTTTTTTTCATTTTTTTTAAAATTTTGTGCTTTTGGTGATTCAGTTTACTCTTTGAAAGATGATGTTACATGAGGGTGCGGCACTTGGGGTGCGCAAGTTCGGGTACTGGTGGTGCGGGGCTTTTGGGTCACCTTGTAGTTCCTTTGCCAGATCATCGCGTCGAGCCGAAGACAAAGGGGAGATGGAGAGATTCTATTGGAGGAAGCGAGTGGTTGCAATGTACATACAAAGGAGGTAATAAATAGACTAACCAACGGCAACCCACAAGAGACCCCATACTTAGTCCATCATAAACCCTCTTAGTCTATAAGAATCACCCATATCAACCAATAGAATCACTCCATACTCCCTACGTCTTCCTTGTCTGTAGCTTTGTACATCAATTTCAACAATTAGCCTGCTGGACACCGGAGAAGCTCCCTGACTATCCTTGACCTTCAAGTTCCATGGTTCGGTTGTCTTGACAATCGAAACCCCAGAAATACGTCCGAAAACCTGCGGCTGAATCTAAAATAGGCCAGATAGGGATTGTCGAATGCAGAGACTGTCGATTTGATGATAAAAGTCATAACTTTTCATGGAGGCGAAGAACTCACCAAAAAGCCGGATACACTAATTAAATTCATAGAATGGTAGAGCACTGGCAGTCTGGGAGCATAGCTTTCTTGTCAGTTGATGATTCAAAGGGCCATTTTCTACTGCCGAAAACCTTAAGACTCTCGCTTTTATTGGAGAACCTGACACGACTTCTACATTTACTTTGAGTGCCACGCACTTAAAAAGCATTGGACGGATTCTATCACGGTTTGGTGAGGAAAAATAATTTCACTTTCATTGCACCCTAACATACGTTGTCGAAGAAAGGATTTAAACAATTTCTTACTGCAGTTGGGGACTCTGCGCAAATGCACAACTTCTGCTTTCATACTAATTTGACAGTCATGCAAAAATAAAACAACAGCCATGCATTAGCATAGCTATTACATATGAGCTAGCTGGCTATAAAGCCTGGCATTTGAACTTACTGGCACGTCATGATAATAAAAGGATTTTAGGAGATATTACTGCTATTGCACAGTAACGAAGAGTGATCAGGCGTGATGTGGACGGCCACAGGTAATGCCTTCTTACGTCTCCTTCTTGCCCCGCGATTGGTCAGCTTACTCAATAAATTAAAAATTAATACCATTAATTGGAGTCTATGAAAGCCAATTGGTACCGAGGGGACTCACTCAGATACTAGTTGACCAAAAACAAAAGCACAACCCAAAATTATTTCATTTTTCCAGTTGGGAAGTTTTAGTTTTAATCCACTTTGGTGTTCCTTTTTTTATATCATTGATCTCCAAAGTCTTAAAATAGGTGCGCAGTAGACTAATTCTTTTCACATTTCAAACGTTTGAGGGCTTAAAAAGGAAGAATTTGCTTGTTAAAAAAGAAATTTTACATATTGAACAGATCAGTCAATTTTTAGAGTAATTATTGGTGAAAGTTTTTTTAAGAAACCGTGTTTCAGCTTGGAAAAAGTTAGGGCGGTTAGACCGTGTCACATAATTGAATTTAACCTATAGTGAGCGACGTACCATTAAACATTATTGACAGAACTTTTGGGGCGATGTACTTCAGCATTCAGTGTGAACACTATCACCATACCATTACACTGTTAGAAGACTTAGAGTGCTTACCCCCGTCGAAAAACCCCAAAAGAGTTGCTTCTGTTCTGTACGAGCGGGGCTAACTACGCAAAAGGAGTGACTTCCACTCCGTACTCATATCATTCAAGTTTTCTGGGGACAAGTGAAATTGCGTTCCGGATTATTCTGAGACAGAGGGGGTACGCCCCCTGACTGCCTCGCGGTCAACCTCTCGAGGCGCTTCGCGCATCCGGGCTGATTGTTGAAATTGATAGACAAAGCCATAGACAAAGAATGCATAGAGAGTATGGAATGATCCCATTGGTTGAAATGGGTGGATAGACCAAAGGATGGACTAACTAAGTTAGTCTGTTAATTACATCTTGTGTCCATTGCAACCAATCCCTTCCTCCAATTGGATCCCTGCATATCTCTTTTGTCTTCTTTGTCTATAGCTCTGTCCATCGATTTCAATAATCAGCCCGCTGAGGCGTTCTACGTTACGCACTACGCGTTACTCTCATAATTTCATATTACAGAGTATGACTTATAACATTTTATTTTGAGCGTCTCGTCGATATGGGTCTCATCTCTTTCGAGGTTTGTCTATCTTTGGGGCTGAAAGCAAGTTTAGTAATTTATTCCCCTCGTAGACCAAAGCTGTCGCGTTGCGTCATTCCGCCTATTAAGTCTTTTATTATGATGAGAGGACTCACGGAAGAGAGGTGCATGTACCGGTCTCTAAAACTGTTCACGCCGGTCGTTATGGGCTTGCAGGTAATGAGGATACACCGAACTTACCAAAAATGACGCCCCCGATAATGACTCAGTGCGACAAACAAGAATACTTTGGACCATCGAGGTTACACAACAAGCCCACAAAATCAGCGTTTAACTACCTTCAGCGACAAACGATCCGGCTGAATCTTGGTCTATGATGCAAGATGGTTTGATTGCAACTCCGCCCATTGCTTTCGGTGTGCGACACTA